AGGCGTAATCCACAAAGTCGCCGTTATGGGAGCCTCAAACCTCAAGTCTCCAGACTACTCGGCACCACATCCCATCCCAGAAGACAGACGTAATCCTCAAAGTCGCCGTTATGGGAGCCTCAAACTTCAAGTCTCTAGACTACTAGGCACCACATCCCAGAAGACAGGCGTAATCTTCAAAGTCGCCGTTATGGGAGCCTCAAACCTCAAGTCTCCAGACTACTCGGCACCACATTCCAGAAGACAGGCGTAATCCTCAAAGTCGCCGTTAAGTGAGCCTCAAACCTCAAGTCTCCAGACTACTCGGCACCACACCCCAGAAGACAGGCGTAATCCTCAAAGTCGCCGTTAAGTGAGCCTCAAACCTCAAGTCTCCAGACTACTCGGCACCACACCCCAGAAGAAAAGCGTAATCCTCAAAGTCGCCGATATGGGAGCCTCAAACCTCAAGTCTCCAGACTACGCGGCACCACAACCCAGAAGAGCGACGTTACGTGAAACGACGTTAAACTGATCCATTATTGTCATATGAAACTTAAGAAATAAGCAGGTTACGTTCCACAGCCTTACTTCACCCCATATCATGCGCTGTACTATAGACAGCATTGTCACGTGATAGGGTGCGACTATTGACGGGTTTTGGTCTGATGACTCGATTTATTGCACACTTTGATACAGCACGTGACTACTCTTTGCGGTTCACTAGTATCCACAGTCATGTGTTTATTGCCGTTGCTTGGGAGCGGCTTCTAAACAACGTACGTTATCTTTCCTCTGTGTTCCCGAACTGCCTCCGGCCTCGGCTACCAGCCTCTAACAGCAACAGCTCACAATAGAATGCAATTTTAAAAGAACTTGGATATTCTTGGCTAAAATAAATGCGATTGTAAACTACAATAATTTTTATGTAATATTTAGTACGGTCCTATTATATTACGGTAGCGTAGTTGGTTGAGGCATTATGTTACAAGCCGGAAGGCTGCGGGATCGAATCCCGATGCGGTCATTGTATTTTTCAATTTACCTAATCCTTCCAGCCGAACTATGGCCCTGGGTTNTAAGTAACTCCCTTCTTCACCCGTCTTCTTAAACCCTGGGATGGACAAGGGAGTAATAACGAGTTAACACGACGCTGTGTGCAGCCTTGGCATCAAGACAGTCATAGTGATAATGAAACAGCGTTAAATGGGACAACGTTCAGTGAGAACGTACTCGAATACAGAATCCACGACGAACTGTTGTAATTGCACCCTAGCAGAAGGAGAAAAGCGGGCCACGGTAGCCGAGCGGTCTAAAGCAGTGTTTCTCAACAATTCTGTTGGTATATTTTACCTTCCTCCTGATTTAAATACATTTAATTCTTGCCTAATATCAGTTCTTCTTCTCCTGTACCCTGCAACTCATCTCAGGAACCGCAGATCAGAGGATTCTGTTGCAGCTGCTGTTCAGATAAAGTGCCGCATTCAGTGCCATATAGCAGAGGGCGTTGTGCAGTTTCAGAACTAATAACATCTGGATAGCATAGTTAGTATAGCGACTGGCTAAGGGTTGGATGGCTAAGGAAGTCGGAGTTCGAGTCCCGGTATGGTCAAGAATTTTCTCTCCTCCACGTCGTCCGGACCGGTTCTGGGGCCCACCCAGCCTCCTATCCAATGGGTACAAGGGACTTTTTCCCCAGGGATAAAGAGACCGGGGTGTGAAGCTGACCAGTCACCTCCATGTAGTACCGAGCTGAAGAAAATGTGGAGCTATGCATCTATTCCCCCGTACGCCTTCATAGTGTAGGGCTTAGTTAAGAAAAGGGACACCTTTACCTTTTACAGTAAAGGTGAAGTAGTTTCTGTGCTTAATTAAGCACAAAGCCATGTAAACGTATGGGGTAGTGGAGTTATAGCTCCACTATTCTTGACTTTGACACTAGATGGAGTTGAGTGGTCAGCTTCACGCCCCGGCCTGTTTCAGTAGATAGGAGGCTGGCTGGGCCCCAGAATTGTTGTGCACAATGCAGAGCAGAGATATACTTCATGCTCCTGTTGGAATTCGAACCCCAGATGTCCAGCCAGTCGCTGTACCGACTGAGCTATAAAGAAAGGGAAATGCGCATGTGCAGTAAGAAAGAAGATTCAGCAGGCTGTTATTACGTATTCTGAAACAAACTAATGATTATAATTTATTTCATGGTTTGCTTGGGATATTTCAGTAATAAGACAGACACTGAAGATGGAAACGTCGGTTGAATTTCATCGGACTACACGGTGTTATATCTCCGAAGAGAGAACTCTACGTGTATGACGATTGCAAAAAATATGAACAAATAAAAGAGTAGCCTAATTTGGCTCGAGATATTAGTATTTAAAACTTATTTCCGGGGGGGGGGGGGGGGGTTATCATTTCGAAACTCGGCTGAGATGTCGACTACCCTGACTGAGGTTATACGCGTTCTACCTCCTCCCCTTCCTCTGGCGTTAAAGTCGCGANATATATATGCATTATCGAAAAGATAAATTAACAAAATGCATAACTGTCCCTGTGCTTAGGATAAGCACCGCGCCTATTTGAATTATATTTTCATTCACTCACTCACTCACTCATGGAGTTGAGCCCTTCTTCAGAAGCTGATAATTCTGCAGCTAATCAGTAATTTCCAAGCACTTTATGAAACCCGATGGTTCATTACCGTGTTCACAAGAGCCCTCAACTCTTCCCTATCCTGAGCCAGATAAATCAAATCTATATCATCCAATCCTCTCTCTCTCTAGACCTATATTTTAAGCCAATTTATTTAGTTGAGTTATGTAGGACCTCACACACTTAACACCATGCTGTTGCCAATTACGGCCGTCAACTAAGTATTTTTTTGTTACAGCTGTACGTTCTCTGGAATGAACCATTTAAAGATCAAGTTAAAATGAGATACTAAACAATTTTAATGAATAAATAAAAATATTTTAAATTCTCTTTGAATTTCATTCCAATCCTGTTGCAATCCAGGTTCACCTCTTCCATTTAGGTCCGAATACTGCAGACGTTCTTAAGCTATTCGGCCTTGAACCGCTTGCTACGTCTGCAATACCAGTAGACTGACATGAGTATCCTGCATCTCCAAATAAGGGCTTCGAGAACCTCAGATCTTTCAAGAACACAACAGACCCTATACCAGTAAGGTGTAGATATAAAAATTTGTCCCTGTGCTTAACTAGTTAAACATTATGCCATGAAGGCGTATGGGGGAGTAGAGGTATAGACCCGCGTTTTCTTGACCTCTGTACTATTTGGAGTTGAGTGGTCAGCTTCACGCTCCTGCCGCTTTACCTCTGGGAAAGATTTCCCGGTACCCATTTGACAGGAGGTTGTATGGACCCCAGAGCCGGTCTGGACGACTTGAAGAAGAGAACATTTTTGACCATACCGGGACTCGAGCTTCGAATCCTCGGTCGTCTAGCCCTTAGCCAGTCGCTATACCGACTGAGCTATCCCGGCTCCCAAGGTGTAGACGTGGATTCAATAAATTTTAGTCCTATGCCGGAAAGCTAAAAGGACAATTTTACGTAACCAAAAAACTATATTTTCCTACAGGGAGAGGTGAAATACGCAACGGAGCACCGCATAAGGTGGACGTATGGGGAATGGCCGTATAATTATGCTTAACCTCGGCATTAAATGGAGGTGAGGGATCAGCTTCATGCCTCTGCCGCTTTAACCACGCCCAAAGAGCCCTCACAGCCGGACTGGACGCTCGCTTCCGTGAGGAACTGAACAGGCCTACCATAAAATAGACCACGGTCGCCTCCCCAGAAATCCCTCCCATCTCACCATGCATTTTACATTGCAGTTTCTTACTGGAGCCTGTAAAACCACGTACTCAGTAAGATTTCTTCCAAGGGGAAGGTAAACCATTTTTTCGAGGGGTACAACTTGAAAATTTGCTTACTCTTAGGGCGAGGGCACAACAAGGAAACTGGCAACGGCAACGCAACCACAATTTCCGAGAATTTTTATCAGCCTGAGTTGAACACAACCAGTTTCCTCAATTTGCGCTGCTCCATTCAGTAACATGTGTTCAACTCAGGTTACTAACAATTCTCGGAAATTGTGGTTGCGTTGCGGTTGCCAGTTTCCTTGGTGTGCCTTCGCCTTTAAATCGCTTAAGAATATTTTACTAATCGCCCTAAAGCATTCAGGAGAGAATAATAAACTATTTAACAATAATGTTTGGTAATTTCTTTCTAGTCTTCAACTAAAAGTCCAGGGAGGGGCACAAAAGCCTCGTTTTCGCTTCCACTTTGGAGTCAGTCACATGATTTACTTATGCAATTGATGAAGCATCGTTAAATACGTAGAGTGATCATGTCAACTTAAATGTGAGACTTGAGGTTCTCAGAAAGGTGCCTATGAAGGTTACTAACTTGTGGGATGTGACGCCGTATAGTCTGGTGATTAACTTCACGCCAGGTCCTTAACGAGTTAAACCTATACATCCCACATATCTTCATAATGTAATACTTAGACAACAGGTCACTTTTACCACTCCATCTACACGTAAACAAATAATGTAACGGTGAGATTTATTTGAATGAGCGAGTGTGCTAGAAGTCCGCCGTAAAGCTGCGGTCATGCCACTTGCCGGTTTTCAACGTGAACGCTGAACTAGAAAGCGATAACAGATGGCGTTGCTAACGTTGATTTTTTGGGGATATTACTGGTAACGTATTTTTACTTTACTGCGGGCCGATGACCATTTGTGCATGGGCTTTGCTAATAGAATGATAAACCACCGACTATCCATTCTCCTTGCTGATGTAATTCTTAAACATCAAGGCTCCGCCTCTGAGAGCGGAAGATGTATTCACCTCTCCCAACCAAGACTACAAAGATAGATCCCTATGCTCCTTGCCAATGAGATGACAGAAGTGTCTCAGTGCAGTGAGGGGGGGGGGAGATGTTCTGTGGGCGAAATGCTCAGCATAGAAGTCTGAGTTTCTGTTGACATGCTGTGAGGATAGACACACGGCGAGGTTCCTGCTGATGTGAGGACAGGAGTGCACGGTGAAGTTTCCAGATCGTGTCTGTGTGTGTGCCCCCATTCTACTGCTTCGCATTTCGGGAACAAGAATGATGTAAAATGTGGGAGGGGGGCAACTGTGCAGAGGGAGGGAAGGTAGGAGTAATGATTGTGTTGATGATAGCATATCTCCTTCATAGTGATTCTGGAAAATGTTCTATAAAGGTGTCAAGTGAAATGAAGGACAAAATATATTTGAAGTGGACATAACTTATTTGTTTTTCCCTTCTACAGAGGTTAGAAACGACTTTTCTTTATGTGTTTGTGTCTTTTTTTAAATGGAGACCAATTAAGACTTTATCCTAAACAAGTGTAGAGAGTTCATTTCAAGAACCATGTCAATTAAAAGTGATTTAATAATATATAACAAACAAAACAAATTCCGTGGCATGTAGTCCGCAAGCGAACTATACCGACCGAGAGACCGCAGCTTGTCGGCGAAGTTAGTGCCAACTTTAGCGGACAGATGGTGTCGCGTGGTCAGCGCAACGGATCCCCACGGCCGTTAATCTCGGTTTTCTGGACCGGAACGATTCTTAGTATAAATGTTAAATAATTCATATTTGTAATAAATTTGTAGTGTGTTCTCTGTGGATTATGAAAGCAATTTATAAGTATTCAGATGAAATTTTAGGCTTCAAATAACTGAGCCGAAGATAAATTTGGCGTATGAATATCATGCAATTTAATAATTAAAGTCACTGAAGATGTTAGGCTCTTGCGCAAACAGCTCCTAATGTTTACGTAAACGTGATTTTGCTTATAAATTTCGGAGGAGAGAGTGGATGAAATCCATTCTTCCATTAAGTCCCATAGACTTGATTGTCATGGCGGTAGTTGTCATGTCGAGCGATACATGTTTTTTTTTTCCTCTAAACCGAAAGGAGAACTGTTCATGAAAAATTAATGACAAGTGACTAACGAAATATGCCATGCGTCGTGCTTTCATAGTTTTGTTCCCCGTTATCTCGGGTAAAGATTGATGTTTAATTCTCTGCTAAGAGCTCGCTTGTTACGTTGGCTTGGCATCAAAAGTAGCTTTGAGTGAAATTACTTCACACCTTTGTAAGATCTGAGGTTTTCACTGCGGTGAGTATGAAGAATGCCGCCTTCTGTGATGTTGTACCGTGTAGATATTGTGTTAACCGACGTTTCGGAGGAACGTATTGTCTCCATCTTCAGGGTATAAGAAATCCGCGAGCGATGAGCCACCTGCTCACGTTGGTTCATCGCTCTCGGATTTCTTATACCCTGAATATGAAGGCGATAAGTTCCTCCGAAACGTCGGTTACCACAATGTCTATATGGTGCCACATCCCAGAAGACGGCATTTTTCTTACTTCACATCTCTTTTATCTTCTCACGATCCCGATTAAACTTTGCGATGACCTGCTTTAACAACAGTAACTCTGGTTTGATTCATGCATTTCCGGTATCAGTACTTTATAAATTTAGATGCGTGTGTCAGTTAAAGGCAAAGTTGTCCCTGTACTCAACGAATTAAGCACTATGCCATGAAGGCCTGTGGGGAGATGCTGTATAGATCAATATTTTCTTGACCTCGGCACAGTTGAATGTGAGTGGTCAGTTTCACGCCCCGGCCACTTTAACCCTGGCGAAAGAACCCCTTCTACCCATTGGATAGGAGGTAGGATAGACCCCAGACTCGGTTTGGACGACGTGGAGAAAATAAAATTCTTGACGCCACCGGGACTCGAACTCCGACCCCTAGGACGTCCATCCCGTAGCAATTCGCTATACCGACTGAGCCATCCTGGCTCCTTATACATATATATTTAATCGTTAAAAAATTATCATATGCCTCAATGTATTTAATTTAATCACAGAGAAACGAGTGTTCTTTGAATTTCTGACTTCAGCCAAAAGTAAGAAGTTTATCTATTAGGTTAACAGTTATAAAATTACAAATATAAATCACTCCGTCCAATGTGACCTGTAAGTTTTTTACTACATGAAAACTTAACACCCTTACATGTGATTTATATTTGTAATTGTTAGTGTGACGGACCAGAATGAAACAAATCAAAGTTATAAAATTATTATTTATGGCTTGAGACAGTCTAAATTTATGACAAAACGTACGGGGTTTTGTAAGAATCTTCGATTTTAGCCGAGTGGCCCATTGCTTCGACTTCCTAACAGATTCACTGTTGTACGGTTCGTAAGAAAAAGAGAGCACGACATGCATGAAGAACATATGAAAATAAGTAACTCCACAACTAATATTCAATTATGATGGCGCTTTCAGAGGTCTTATATGATAAGAGTATACCTTATGTTAAATTTATATAGGCCTAATATGAACCACATTTCTTCAAACTCTTCTTCTATATAATCTTAAACAAAACCAAATCCGTGGCCTTTAGCCTGCAAACGAATTGTTTCGACTGAGCGACCGCCACTTGTCGGCGACGTTAGTGCCAACGTTTGCGGATAGAGGGTGTCGCGTGGTCAGCGCAACGGATTCCTACGGCCGTTAATCTCGGTTTTCTAGACCGTTCCTATATAATCTTTGTCCTCCAAATTGAATCCCAGATAGGCTTACGCTACTTCTAATGAGAATAAGGATTTCTAATTGTAATTATTTTGTGCATATCCGAAGGACTGGGCCTCCTTCAAGGAGGGCGAATTAATTAAACAATCCAAAAGTTAAGAAAATTTCTAAATCGTAAATTTAAAATTTGAGATCTCCTTACGATCAATTTTAAACTCAGAATTCAATTATTTTACAAATTCAGTTATAAACTATATATACTTCAGGAATATATAAAATGGAAATAAGTATATTTTTTGTGACAATTAAATCACTTGTCCAGCAGACTTCTATCACATGAACCCTAAAATGAATAACTGCAGTTAGTTAGATTTATTTTTTGACATACAGTATGTGATTCCCCTCATACAATGATTGTCTTCATTGTCTTTTTGATAATGAGGAACGTTTCACAGTTATTAGTGATGAATTAAGCACCTTTCTATTAGCTTTTGTTGTAGCATCTAGCTATTTGTGAAATTTGACCACTAAGATCTTTGTCCCATGTTACCTATATGGGTTAAAATTACCTTAAACATATCCTTGAGATGGGGCAGGATTTGCAGCTGTGGGATCCCCAGGGAAATTAAAATGTGGAGGCCCACAACAAACAATTTAATTATTACGAATATCTCTTACGGTTTTCTCTTTCTTATGATAACTAAAAATATAAACGAAATTCTCGTAATTTTAGAGAAACGAATGTCTCAGTGAGATCTTTGGATATTTCTGTTTTGTGAAGACCTCAGGGCGACTGTCCCGGTCGCACAATTTTATAACCAGTTTTTCTGATTGGCGTCAAATTAATAACACAGCTTTCTTTTTCTTGTAAGTGGGCTGAACTGAGAGTTGTTAATATAGTCCTCTGATCATTTGTGTCCTTAAATACTAAAGGCGTAAGGCTGACAACTTTACCGCCATCTATGAGCCGATTGTCTAGCAAATGTGGGATCCTCAACATCTCATAATCCTATGGGCCTCCACGACCTGTTACAGGGATACCTTTACTTTACTTTGTAATAACAATAATAATCATATTTGAAACGATGCGAAATGCGAGAACACACACTCGTGAAGTGTGTGCAGAACGGCACACTCTTCCAGATGCCCCAACTGTTGGCATGATCTCCCCGTCTGCTGATACCAGTTTTCAGCGTAGTGTTTTGAAGTACATACACACTTAACTAACCACACGATGATAAGCGGCTTTCAGCGCTTCCGAATAATAGCGCTCGCTAATAGGACTATTTGTTGTGAGGAGTACCGGCGTCAGCAGGCGATGACCGGTGTGGCCTGATGCGCATGCACCTCACGATGGAGACAGCAGCTGAAAAATGAAACATTTTCTTTTCGTCTTCCTCCTATTAACATTTCAACTGAAGGAAACTTGTTAGCACTTTAACTTCTTTACTCATATTGTTAGAAAATAGTAATATTTTCTTACGCCATGTGGTTTTCAGCAGTGTAAATTACAATTCGTAACGACAGGCAACGAAACCGAATAATTGATATTATCATCGGTTTACATCTTATTCCCATTTCGATAGTATTATCTATACGTTTTTCTGTAATTTAAACGTAAGTTAAGACACATCTGAAGATATATTTAAATTCATCAGATTAGTTCTGGTTCACCGAATCGTTGCCTAGCAACTAGTATACATGTTACAGTATGAAAAAGTACGCCATACAAACAACTGAAAACTGTGCGAGTAGAATTAAATTTTTTTCTAAGTTTACGGCTTATTTGAAGACGCTATCGGTAGCTCAGGCTATGTGACATGAAAGAGTGGAGTGATTATATTTCGATGGGTTAACTTAAGCAGCTTTCAATATTTACGTCGAATCTATTGCGCCGAATGGTAGGGTTTTAAATGAATTATTAGTTGTAAAAAATTGGTAGGGAGAGGTAGTGGAATACTTGTGATACTATCCCAGAATTAGATTTTTGAGGATCACGAAAAATATCAGTTACGATAGCCGGTACGCGACCAATATTCGAAGTGAACTTCTCATAAATACAGATGTAAAGCGCTACCGCTGCGCTAGCTGGTAGGATGATTAGTTAACTGAATTTGAAAGTATGAGGAAAGTAGTGGTCACTTGAGGCACTACACCGATATAAACCTCAGTCATTAGGGCCAGGACCTTGGTTCTGATTGTCGCCTACTTCTTGGTTTATTCTTCAACCCTGAAGCTGGAGGCAGTATATTCCTCCGAAATATTGGTATATTTATACCAGATGAAACGACGTCACATACCAGAAAATTTTATTCTTACGTGATCACCACTTCGAGGACCTCAAATTTCAACGTCAATTAAACGTTCATAAGATGATATAAATTTATTTATGTACCGCGGTTTAGAAATGCTACCAGTAGCCAGTATAAACGTAACACGCTAAATCTCAAGGCTGGGCAACTAACCAGCTAATTGATTAACTAATAAACTTGTACATAATGGAGCATAGAATTTCAAAAATTAATTGTATTCAGTCTTTATCTTGTTCACAATAGCCTATTTTGGACCCACATCCTGAGCCAGACGAATCCAGTCCAAGCCTTGTAATAGCTTAAAGATCCATTTTAATATTATGCCCAGATCTCCCAAGTACGAATACTTATCTTATTTCAGATTTTCCGACTAAAATTCTGTGGGATTACACATTTCCCATCAAAATCAGGGCAATTAATTTCGTGAATTAATAAAAAAAAGCAACACATATTATTTATTTTCATGATTTAAACAGTTCTATAGCTTTCTTTTCTTCAATAATAATCAGGAATATAATACAAATTTCACAGAAAATTCTAACAATTTAAAAGTATTTTATTTTTATGAACATGTTGTATATATATATATATGAGTTTACAGAAGCAAAATCTTGCCTGTTATGAGGATATATTGGTACAAGAACAGTGTTGTCAGATTTCTGATTTATTTTACAAAGTCGATTGAACTCCAACTAACCACAGAAACACCACAAAGAAGTGAAGACAGTTATACAATCAATTTAAATGCTGCTTCGCCACTGGAACCGAATCTGGTGGCAATTAAGTGATGAAAAATACTACAGGCTTGAAAGAACTCGGACAGTTTACCTTATAAAACTGTCCGGTCTAGTTTAAAAAGTGTTCAACCTGCGTACTTTATTGACTGCCTCTGTTGGAATATCGAAGGAAAGGAAATAAGAACCTTACATTCGTGCAGGGAAACACAAAATATGGGCCAGAAGGAAATTCTGACGAAACTCTTAATTGCGCATCGCATCAACGCTTTCGTTTTGTCTGCCTGTGTCCAAATAATGTTCTATTCTGGATGGAGGAACTAGGATGTTCTCCCAAGTAGACTACTGAGGCATATTCATAACAATGTGTGGGTTGGGTAGCTCAGTCAAGGAAGTGATTAAGCTATGGGGTGGACGACCGGTGACATAGTTTTCAATTACGAACAAGGACAGTGAGTTTTCGCTTCACTACATTTCGTTAATACAGAGTCTTTTTTTAGTAACTTGAAGAGTTCACGGCGACCGGAGCGCCGTTTGCCGCGAAGTGCATGCGAATTTTGTCGATATATCAGCGTGTCTGGCCTCCGGTAACGTTTGGAGTAAGATAGTTATAATTTACAGATCACCGCAGGTGTTGAAAATGCAGTCCTCTACACGTAGATATTTTTCGAAATTAATTGTTTAGTTAAAAAAACAGGTACAACAATCCTTCTTGCACTTAGCCTACAGCACACCAGACACCAACTTTCACTGGATGTCTTCAGCAATTGTGTTGCCCATCTTGCACTAGACTTTGACACTCCAATCTCTTGAGCTAGATGTTTCAGTGATTTTCTAGGTGTATGTTTAAGTCTGGTCCCTATGTCATCTTAACTTCTCAGATAGAGTCTTGTTGTTCTAAGTTTATTCACCAAACTATGAATTGTTTGTCTATGGGGAACTCTTTCATCACGAAATTTACGTCGAAATTTTCGCCGACACTTTCTAGCAGATTCCTATTTCATGTAGGTTTCATACAAAGGTACACGTTACTCTAAAATGTACTGCACCATGACAAAACACGCGCTCATGAATTGTAACTGAGAACAAATGACTAAAGGAGCTGATAACTGCTGCCTACTGCTGACAAATCATAAACACTCACACATGAACCACACTGCTTGCCGTGAAGCATAATGCCATCAAGCGGTGTTCAAGTTAATTACTTCCCTTCATTCCAAAAAATATCTTCTGATTCATCGGCAAAATTTATATGCACCTGGCGGCAAGCAGCGCATCGCTCGCCGTGAAGCGCAAAGCCGTGAACTCGTCAAGTTACTAAAAATCACTCTGTATAAAGCTTTCTTTAAAATATGAATAATTATCTCGGAATTTTTAAGCGGACTTCAAGAGAAGCATTTAGGGTATTTTTTATTTATTACAATATACAAATTGTGTTATCTTTCGTTTACTTATTTTATTAATTTTAAAGGCTCTTTATGAGCTTCTCAGGTCACACATGCGCCAATTATTAATCTCTTTTTATTTCTAGATCTGAGATTCGATTAGGCCCATAAGTAATCTCCAGTGATATGTTTTAGAAGTGTGCGAAACAGTGAGACTGTGTAAGACGGAAGAGTTCGTACAAGAATCTACAAGAACGAAGTTTGGTTCATATACAGTGTGATCTATTTTAAGAGCAGTGATACATGGACGGAAATGCCGGCTTCTTAAAGTGAACTTTATCGCGAATGAGACGTCACTGTTTGCGGCTGATGAAGCAGTCCTGACTGGGAGATAGGCCAGTGAAGGCCCCCTGAAAAATGCAACACCCTACTTCTCACTACGGGACTGCTGCAGTTCCAGGGATGACTAGGGCGTGGGTCCCTACAGGGGCCACTGTCCCCGACTGGGGGCCCCCACAGCCCCTGCCGTCATACTCAACACCGATGAAGGAGATGGAAGGTAAGACTAACTACAGAAATTAACATATTCGGTATCAACAATGAAAATTTTTGTTCTTTTTAGGCTGTGCAATCTTGAGAAGCGCTAAGCTCGCTAAGAGGCTCCGTCCGTTTGCACGCTTGAAACACATGATGAGCGCTTGGATGGATTTTCATTAAATTTGGCATTAAAAATGTTTTATAGATAATTCAGGTCGGAAAATTGTAAGAAAGCACTAATATATATTCAATCAATACCCTCTGTCACAGTGTTGAAAGCCATTAAATTACCTAATGAAAGGGGAACATTATTACTTATTCCTATTTAAACTGACATAGCTGCCTTTTCCCTGTTGCTTATCTCTAAGAAGCCCTCTTAAGACGAGGAAAATGAGGCGGCAAGTGCGACGTCGAGCATCGGACTGGCTGTTAATTAAAAGGTGGAGATGCCAGATCTGTGACTTTTAGAGCGCTGAGTTGCCACATAAATCAAGGCACCTCAGACATCGTGAGGATTCCTGCAGCGGTGGCTCAGTTCACAAATTTGTCGCAGCAAATAGTCACTAAAATGGTAGGGCCGAGAGGACGCTGCATTTGATGTCTGGTATCCGAAACTTCTGGGCACAGTGCAGAGACAGAGTGTCTCTACATTCAGATCCATGCACATCATGAGTTCATTAGGTGAGTAGGTAAACGTGTAAGTGAGGGAGTGAGTTGTCAAGTGAGTAAGTCAGCGTGTGAGACAAAGGTTGAGCGAGTGAACTAGTTACTGACCAGGGGAAGCACAGATTAAGTGAATGACCGAGTTAGTTAGTGGCTGGGCAAGTGGAAGAATTAAGCGTGTAGATCAGCGAGCGAGTCAGCATGTGAGACAAAGATTGAGCAAGTAAACTAGTTATTGAAGAGGTGAACCAGAGAAATGTCAATAAATGTACATCCGACTACACATCATCACGTCCAGAAAGCAGCAATCTATATAGTCACCGCTGTAATAACTTCAAATCTCACGTATTATACTGAATTATGGATTTTCTTACAACGTTATGATGTCTATCTGTCTATGGTCCTACGGCCCTTTGTTGGACCTTGGCCGCTTTTTCAGTTTCTTAATCCTATAAACAGTCGATAGGATTCCTCGGACAGGGTATCAGTCCGTCACAAGGCCGCTACCTACACAGATAACAACACAAGCATAAAATAAATGCACACAGACTTCCATGCCTTGAGTGGGATTCGAACCCGCGATCCCAGCGTTCGAGCGGGCGAAGACGGTTCATACCCTAGACCGCGTACCCATGCTCAGGTGAGGGAGTGGGGAGACACCTACTCCGTTGGGGCCGTTAAGAGCTGACCTCTAGTGATTAGTAAATTACCTATAATTATGTGGATTGTTTTAATCAGTCCGTGATAGTAACAATAATAATAATAATAATAATAATAAAAATAATATTGTCATGTGTAGGGTGGTAGCCCTGACGAAAATGACGGGGTTCTATTTGGGATAATTGGATTTATTAGCGCCTTGGTTACACTCTCTCTCTTAATTACAATTAGCACAGCGCTATCGCGGTTTCTACACTTTATAATCCACTGTTACACACATACACACACACACACACACTAGCCCTGTTCTGGTAACGCAATTAAAACACAGGAACTAGCGCTTCAGATCACTCCAGATATCACTGGACTACAGCACACGTAAAGTCTTCAACGTCCATTAACTCTTCACAGCTGAATCCTCAGAAGTCCTTTCCATGACGGCTTCGTTTCCTTGACTCACGGCTTCTCGGTATGACTAGTTACGACTCGTAACTGCCTAAACTGAATTTTCATCTGAATTGACTTCTCTTATAAGCAATCTGCACACACCCCACCGAAAACGCCTATTATTGTAGACGTATTTACAGTTCCGTTGCTTAGAAGCGGATTGTATAAGAGATTAAGGGAGATTGTAAATGAAGGTGGAAAAAAATCAAATCATCCAATCCAGAACTAGTTATTATTAGTCACGGAACCCCGGACACGTGACAATATTTAAGAATAAGCTGGCCATAGCATGTAGGTGTTTATACAAGGATCTACAAATTTCCTCTTGTAAGCTATGGAAGCTGATATAACATCATTAAATAACCTAGAAATCAGTTCATGTTTTTCCTAATATTTCATTTGAAGCACAAATCTCCGATAAACTTCTCAACTTGATAGAAATCAATTTATATGTATGCTCACATTTGAGGCCATAGTTGAAACCTGTGCAGTTGATACAGCATCACTGTGTGCGTGCAGCCTGCCTGCAGAGCGCAGGGGACAAGTGCCGAGATTATACGGGCGCCAAGACAGCGGCCGGTGGGACAGAAGAGATGAACGTGACGACCGACGCTGGGCAGGACGTCGCGACGGCGAGCAAGAAGAAGTGCGCCCTGCCGGTGCACCCCAAGCTGCTGAACGCGGGGGCCGCCCTGGAGACGAAGCCCCTATGGGATGAGTTTAACGAGCTCGGCACAGAAATGATAGTGACAAAGGCTGGCAGGTAGGCTCGCAACACGTCTTTTCTTGTCTACCTTTCTTTCCTCTGCGTCTTTTCTCCTTCTTTTCGTTTTATTTCCTGTCCTTCAAACCCTCTCCCTGTAATTTCAAACTTACATTTTCCCCCCTCTTTTTGTATCTCTGTCTTCCTATCGTCTTGCTTTTTACTTCCTCATATTATGTAATATATTACCACGTGTATACTCATTGCTAGGCAACGTCTCATTAAACACATTCCTGTGGAAGCGTACGCGCGCAACAATAAGACGTCTACTGCTACGCAACGGCGCGGTAAACACTCTTATCAACAACAGAGGCTGTTTTCTGCGTGGTCAGTGCAAAGTGGTTACAATGAAGTGTTCAGCAGCATTGAGCCCTTAGAAGTGAGGGGTCGAGTTTCAGAACCCCAGCCTGCGAGGATATGAAAACCTGCCCAACGCCACTTTGTCCACCACAAATCCCACTTGACCAGAGTCGGGATCGAAGCCAGGCCGCCGCGGTGGAAAGCCAGCGACTAACCGGTTGAGCTAATGCGCGGTCTTAAGCTGAGGGTTTGAATCGGCCTATGCTTGTACCCTCGTTCATTATTTTTTTTTTCTGTTGCTGTTACTAACCGAGATCTGCTTTATATAAACGACGTGCACTGGATTCAGGCTAGGCAGCTACTTGGGTGGGCGAAAGCGCTGAGAAAGCAAAAAGAAAGTAAGCAGTTCAAGTGCGCGGAGAATGAAACTAGCCGCTGTTCCCTAAAAATAACCTTTCTTGGTTATAATTTCATCTGATGGAGATAAGATGCAATTCACTTATTAGATAAGCTTATAAAGTAGGCCTCGGTATTTCTGCCTTAGGCTCTTTGGTCTGCTCACATTCAAAAATTAATTCTGAAATTGTTGTGAATCTTGTACACAGTCGGTAGGACTCACTGGACAGGGGATCAGCCCGACACAGGGCTAGACAAACACAGAACAAACATAAACAGACATTCATACCTGGAGTAAGATTCGAACTCACGATTTCAGTGTTTGAGAGGGCGAAGGAATTTCGTATCTTAGTCTGCGAGGCCACCGTATTCGGTGTCCATATATTTACAAAAATTGAACTTGACCAAGAGAAAATTGAAGGACACGTCGAACCCACAACTTGGCATATCAGTTCCGAGCATGGAAGTTTTCCAGGACGTGAGATATTCTCTCTAGTCTGGATGATCCAGGAAAGAATGTGTTAATTGATATTAGGTACAAAGTTTTGTGAGCCAATGTAGACAAGCGCCTCAGATGTATTATTTTCTGATTCCTTTCACGTTGTCTAATTCGAGGGGAAAACGATTATGGCCCAATGGGTCATGGTATTTAATTCTAATACATTTAAGTCGGAAGGGCTGCTTTGTTTCTTGGGGTGGAGTGAGACTGGATCAATTTTATACGTCGGCCACTATTTAGCCTACTGTAGACAGATGATGATGAGTATACAGTAGACGGAGGAATGATAAGTGGCAAGGGAAACGGAAGTATTTGGAAAAAACCTGCCCCAGTGCAACTTTGTCCACCACAAATCCCACAAGACCTGACGTGGGCTCTAACCCTGCCGCCGCGGTGGGAACCCGGCGACTAACCGTCTACGCTACGACTGTGAAGTGGTTTTAGAGATGTAACCTGCGGACGGACAGACTGACAGATATGGTCAACTTTATACGGTTTATTTTCTTACCAGTCGTATTCATTTCAGATGTACCTTCCCCTATTTCATTTTTCTGAATGTTTAGGTTATCATAGGCCGACTATGTGGTCTAGTGGTCAGAGTTCCTGGATACATATATAGTGGTTCCGGGTTCGATTCTCGGCACTACCATACTTTCTGAGAAGTAGTAGTGGGTATGGAACGGGGTCCGCTCAGCCTCATGAGGATAACAGGAGTTACTTGAATAGAAAAGCAGAGGCTCCGGTCTAGAAAACCGAGATTAACGGCCGTGGTAATCCGTTGCACTGACCATGTGGCACTCTCTATCCGCAAAAGTTGGCACTAACTTCGACGACAATCGGCGATCGCTCGGTCGGTTAGTTCGTTTGCGGACTAAAGGCCACGGAGTTTTTTTTTTAGTTTAGGTTATCATATTAGACAATTCCTGTGAGACTGAACCGTGAATACACACAGACCTACAGAAAGTCACCACTGTGCCACAGTGACTCACTGACCGTTGTCTTGCTTACAGACGCATGTTCCCAACTTTCCAGGCGAGACTGTACGGGCTGGACCCACTGGCCGACTACATGTTAATGCTGGACTTCGTGCCGGTGGATGACAAACGGTACAGATATTCCTTCCATAGGTAAGTCCCTTTCGGTCTACACACAGGTTCCATTGTGCTTCAAACGGAGGCTCACTATAGACTTCGGAGTCAGAATGTTAAGAATTTTTATCTTTTCTTTATGCTCAGACCGATTCTGAGGTCCCTAACCCTCCTGTCTCATGGTAAATGACTTTAATTAATTTAGCACCATGCCATGAAGACGTATGGGGGAGTGGAGATATACTTCTACAGGGTGATTCATATAGAACCGGCCCGACGAAATGAGGTGTAATATAATATATACCATACAGATATTGAAGTAATTTATATATCTTATCTTGGATCGTGTGCCGTGATCAGAGCAGGTGTTGAAAGTGTCCGCCGTTTTCAAGTAGGCACTAGAAACACTCGCTGTTCAACAGTGAACTCCATGACTGTCGCCTGTGCATTGCAGACACGTTTCGGCATTGTCCTTGACCTTGCAGCATAAGGGCTGTACTTGGAGATGAGTGGTCAGCTTCACGCCCTTGCCGCTTTTCTCCTCGGGAAGAAGCCCCGGTACTCAATAAACAGGAGGCTAGGTGGGCCCCAGAGACGATCTGGACCATTTGGAGCAGAGAAAACTCTCTTGTCCCTGCCGGGAATTGAACACTGGTCACCCAGCCCGCAGGTCATCACTGTTACTACTGAGCAATCCTGGATCTTTTGCGTCATGGGTACTGAAGGTAGTTTCCTTAACCCGGAGCGTAAGCCTGGTCGTTTATCTTCATCAAGTACCGAAATCTGAAAAAAAGAATTTTACTTCCACTATTCCGTAACGTCTCCCTCCTGGGAAACAGGGGCATTTACTTTACTTTCAATTTGGGTTTATACTTTGGCACGCAGGGCTTAGCCTAATTCAAGAAATCAGAGAGTACCATCTTGTGCACATGCATAGAAGTCACTGTCCACTTCAGTTGCCCATTTCAGGAACCATAGCAACCCTGCTGGAAGCCTGTCAAGTTCCCTCCTCCAGACACTTCGAGAAGAGCTGGATATATTTTAATGAAACTTGATCATGGGAAAATTGTATGACAGACTTGTCAAATTTTGTATAACACCTTGTTTCGTGATACGGCGGTAGTTGGGGTAAGAAAGTGAAAGGTCCGTTGTTGGAAGCCACTACCAAGCAACGAACTAGTGGAGACTGTAACAGACTAAGAACATTAGTTTTTGTGTGAAAATCGTTTGTATAGTGTAATAAGGAGAAGTATAAGTGTTCAAGGTCGGTCACGGTAGCCGAGCGGTCTAAGGCGTGTACTGTCTTCGCTCGCTCGGGAGCTGGGATCGTGGGTTCGAATCCAACTCAGGGCATGGATGTTTGTGTGCGTTTTTCTGTGTTTGTGTACAGGTAGAGGCCTTGCGACGAGCTGTTCACTCGCCCAAGGATTCCTACCGTATTTGTAAGATCGAGGAAAAACGAAGTGAACGGAGTTCATGGAGGTAGGCCTAGGCCCACTGGGGCTGTAGTGCCAAGGGGGAAAAATATGTGTTCAAGAAATCAGATTACCAACTCCATCTCTATTCACTCTATCCCACGAAATTATGTTACAAAACTGAATAGTTATTGCATGTTATTCTCTTTTGTTTTCAGTTCGAGCTGGGTGGTGGCAGGTAAAGCGGACCCTATCTCACCCCCTAGGATACATGTGCACCCCGATTCACCCGCGACAGGAGCGCAGTGGATGAAGCAAGTTGTGACCTTTGACAAGCTGAAACTGACGAACAACCAGCTGGACGACAACGGTCATGTAGGTAACCGGTGTGATGGTCAGAGCTATTTCCGCCCCACATTTGAGATTCTTAAGTAGTGAAAGTTCAGGTTGCGGTCCTGGGTTATGACGCCGTGTGGACCTATAAGTCTCCCTCACTGCGAGAGGAACAGCATGAGGGTGTTTGGGAACAGCCTGAAGATGGGACTGGATCTATGGGCGAGGAAGCAACAAGAAGGTGTAGGATTTGAGGTCCTCACAATGGCTGTTATGAAGAATTATGTTTTCTGCGACATATATAAACGTAGTCCGATAAAAATCTACTGACGTTTCGGAGGAACATGCCGCCTTCATCTTTCAGGGCCGAAGAATAAGCCAAGCAAGGGGCCAGCATGAAGGTGATTTGTTCCTCCGGAACGTCTTTTTCGAGTTTCATCACACTAAACGGCGTCACATCCCAGAAAACATAATTCTTCAAAATTAATCCTATTATTAGAATGATCAAGTCAAGAAACAAGAGATGATCTGGGCATGTAGTACGCACGGGAAAGAAGTGCATTCAAAGTTTGGATCGTATAACCTGTAAGAACGTAACACCACTGGACAGACCTAGGTTTAGAGCAAATAGAATAATAAAAAATGGATCATAAAGAAGAGGATGGGAATGTGTGGATTGGATTCGTCTGGCTCTGGATGAGGACCAATGGCGGGCTGTTGTGAACACGGCAATGAACTTCCGGATTCCGTAAAATACTGGTAATTTATTGTCTAGCTGAGTAATTTTTAGCTCTTCAAGTTAGACTCAGCTCCGCGGAGTTGTTTAGGTGTTAGTTAGCTAGTTTGTTAATTAGGTAGGTAGGTGCCGATCACAGTGGCTGCACGGTCGAAGGTATGAACACTCTTTTTCAGGTCGAACACTAGGGTCATGGGTTCCAATCCTATTCGAGGCATGGATGTCTGTGTGTTTATTCTATGATTGTGCTCTCCTGTGTGTAGGTAGCCTTATGACGGGCTGGTCCCCTGTTGTAGTAGTTCTATTTGTGTTATGGAAGAATGTAGTCTTCTGGAATATGGCGCCGTGTAGATATTGTGTAAACCGACGTTTGGGAGGAACGTATCGCCTCAATTTTCAGGGTTCTTCGCTAGCGGATTTTTATACCCTGAAGATGGAGGCGATAAGTTTCTCCGAAACGTCGGTT